TCATGAACACTTCAGCATGTAAATCATAAAATATATTTCATTCCAAGTTGGACCAGTAACCCTCAGCTTGACAACAGATGATTAAAAGCTCTATGTTCTAAAATCTATGCCTTTTTATTCACATGTACAACTTATACATTCAAAGTATTATGTAAAATGTTTCCTGAATTATGAAAATGTATTTAACAAGATATGCATACTCACTATATTGCATATAGTTGCTAAAAATTTGCCATACTAAAAGTACTCTCATATTCCAGAGCTTTTGGAGGAGCTACAAAATTCAAATAATGAATAAAGTAAATATATGGCTACAAAAATCTTTCAATATCATTTCCACATTTCTTTTTTTAGCCATTTTAGTATTGGAAAGATTTATAGTCAGACAAACTTTTACCAGCTCTAGTTTACCCTTGAGGTAGAAGCACTCAAAAGATGTTTATTGTAAAAATACTACAATAAGGTATGTTTCTAAAAAATACCATTAATTACATTGTTAGACATAACCACTAAGTAATTTAAGTAACCTGACTAAAAAAAAAGTTCTAAAAACAAAAAAGGAGCAAAACGCATTTTTTAAGGGAATTCATTCCACACAGTATCCAATGTTAATATCTAGAAAAGTAAAACTCCACTTTTTTTTAAGAAATAAATAGGTTGGTCACTCAATTGAGAAAAAAAAAGGGGCTATATTACTTTTCTCAGATTCCTAGATTTTGTCTTGGACTTTTAAAACTGTTCATACGAAGGATACTTAATAAGTCTAACTTAACTGATAAAATAGAAGGAAGTAATCAAACATACACCTGCCATTTTTTCCTGTCTATTCAAATCTTGCCTTAAATAAAACATCTAACTTAACATTAACCAATATTTTTTGGTACATTTTGTCTTTACTATAATCAATTCAGATAAAAACACATGGCCGATTCAGTTCCTAGTATAATAAACAAAAGTTCTTTGTATTATTTCATTTTTTTAAAAGAACAATATTATCTTTTAAATAGATAATTAAATTTAAAATAAATCTTTGCAATTTCATTTACATGTATTTGTTACTATAGTAACTTTAGATGTTCATTTTAAAAATAAACTACAATCTAGGATTTAATGTCCTAATACCAAATATGGCATTCATTATACTCCATAAAACAGATAATCTAGTAACATAAAAAAATAACACATGTTCAGGTGGTCCTCACTTTAATACTCACTTATTCAGAAACCATTCAAAGTTATAGTGGCAGTGAACAAGGGGTATCTCCAACCAGTCTGTGTACTCCTGATTGCTACAGTGTCCCTGTCGTCATATGATTATGATCCTGGCTCTAAGCACCTGTCTTGCAATTACAGATGATTCTCAACTTACGACAATTGAGCCCAAAATTTCTGTTGCTAAGTGAAATATTTATTAAGTGAATTTTGCCTTATTTTACGACTTTTCTTGCCACAGTTGTTAAGTGTATCATTGCAGGTGTTAAGTTAGTAATACAGTTCGTTAAGTGAATCTGGCTTCCTCATTGATTTTGGTTGTCAGACGGTCATAAAAGGTGATCACGTAACCTTGGGACAAGGCATCAGTCTTAAATGAATCAGTTGCCAAGCATCCAAATTTTGAAAACGGTCAGTCACTTTTTTCAGTGCTGTTGTAACTTTGAACGGTCATTAAATGTACTGTTGTTAAGTCAAGATCTACCTGTATGATGTTGCAGCATCCCATAGTTACATGACTGCCATTTGTAACCTTCTTTGCCTGCTTCCAACAAGCAAGTCAAAGGCAGGAGACTGCAAATGGCAATGTTCTTGCTTAATGACCCATGGTGATTGCATGACACCACATGACATTGTGCTTTACAACTATATCACTTAGCAATGGAAATTCGGGTCCAAATTACCAATGTTATGTGAGGACTAGCCATAAGTAACTATTTTCCTTTCCAAATTATTAAACTAGAGTTGATATCCTCATTTATACAATGAACAATAAATAACAAAGGGGCAAAGGGGGGAAAAGGGACTCTCTCAAAAACTGGAATCAGCCAACTATCAGAATGCATGTTTCTAAACTTGACGGCCTAATAATATGTCTCATATTACATTCCTCTTTGTGGACTGATGACTATAAAGATGGTCCTTGAGACCATACTAAACCTAAATTAAAACTCAATTTATTTTGGCAATTCAGTATGGCTTCACTGAAAAACAGAGAAATACCTTATTTAGTCTACAACTCTGTGGTGTCATTGAGAAAATGATCAATGATATGTAGTGTGTACAATCCCACTGGCTAAAAAGCAGTGCTGTCCTTCCTTCTCATACCTTCCTGTATAACCATGTCAAATGCAGAATGAAGTATGCTTTAGTTTGCAAACATCAGAGCACTTTTCTCACATAGCAATCATAATGCAAGAAAATCTGATAGTCCAAAAAGAATAAACAATCCAGAACAGTGGTTTGGAAAGCTATTCTTAAAGCTAACAAGAATGAAACTGAACAAGACCAAAGTGAGTTGGAACTCAAACAATTACTTCAAAAAAGTAATTTGTAAAAATGTATTTATTAACAAATATTAAGTAGGAACAAATATCGCGAGTATCAGTTCTAGTTTTTCTTACTACATAAATATCAAATATTTGTGCAGCTATTTAATACAACTTTTATAAAAGCAAAAGGCAAAATCAGCATTTTTATAGCTTACTATATTTAGGAGAAATTTCAACTAATTTTCAAGATAAAGCCCAAAATTTTGAAACAATCATACAGTCCTGTAATGGCACTGTTATTCTATTAGATTGAAAATCTCTCAGTGTTTAAACATTTTTTAACAATGTCTTAACTGTAACTAATGATATGTTGAGTTTTAAATCAAAAGCCTATGCAATTAACATTTTTTATATAAAATTTCAGCTCATATTAAAACTCTTATTCAAAAAACTAAATCTAAGGGTATTAAGATTTTATCCTACATCCTACATAAAGAAAATTTTAAGTTCAGCCTAAAGAGCCACTGATTTACTAAATGATTCTAAACTGATTTATTAAATGATTCTAAACTAAGTTATTTGAAGCTAACAGTTTTTCATGTATATAAAGATAAAAGAATAATATAAGCTTCTCCACAAAATGTTATTCATACAATATAATGCTCGCTTCTTTCATTGGAGCATGGTCAGAAGCATATAAAATCAACTACATGCCTAAAGATTAACTGCAATGGGAATTCTTTCTCCTATGGTAAGATCCAACTGTTGCTTACAGTGAAATATAGAAAATTTACACATTAGAATTGCTTCTGAGAATAAGCAACCATAAAGGAAAGTAAGCCTACTACATTTCACTATAAGACATACAAGACCCTACTGCATTGCAATGGTCAAATATATTATTATATACTGAAGTCAAAAAGCACCAGAAAAAAAGTTATTGTAACAGTGCTTAATGACACCGAATGCAATGATTTATCATCTTTCCATTTTACAGATACAGGAATCATTCATCCCACTATCACTTACATATTTAAACTGTGTTATGTGTTATTTCTACCCCATATAACTTCTAAATATAGATCCCAAAGTTTAAAAAAAATTCAAGGATTCAAATACTAATTTAGAATGGTCTCTACACATATTATATGACCTCACTCTTCTGAAAACATATGGGATAATATGGTAAAATAGCATGAAGTATCTATACAAGTGAAAAAAATGTACAAGTCACAATAAACTGAGATACAGAGTTATCATTTAACCACATTTCATGTTCACTTGGAATTTCTGCAATGCATGTTATTCTTGTATCTTTTGGGTTCCTTCATGAAATCTTATTCAAGGCTTCTCCAAGTTTCTCCGTGGCTTCTCTGTATGCCTATCATTTTTAGTATCTTGGATAACCTATTTTGCCCCTTTTGTTTTGCTGTGTAATAAAACAACAAGGCCTGTGTTATGTTTCTAAAAGTGCTGGTTGCATATTATCAAAAATATAAGCAGCATCTCAACATTTTGAACAGGATAAATTAAAACAGAAATCCTAGGATATTTTTCATTCACTATAATGTATCTTTAGAAGACTAGCTAAAAGCTTTCATTTAAAGAAAAACAGAAAATCCTTAGTTTAAGTTAGGATTTTCTAAAATGTATCTTGAAAAAACATTGTACTAGCCTAAAGTCCAAAGGTTATACTCAATGCACACGGAAGTTTCTGTTACAGAAACTTTCCTGACCTCCAAGAATCTGTGCTTCCAGAGAAGGAGGAATCTGTGCTTCCAGAGAAGAATCTTCTGAGGATCAGAAAATACTTTGGAAAGAACTGGGATACAGGGAAGCAGGAAAAACTGGATGGAATAACTTCAGGCTACTGAGACTATTCCCCCCTCCCCCGAGATGTAAAAACAAATATATATCACCCTAAACTTGAAAACAGTAACACTAATAGTGTAAATGCACCTATATTGTTAGAAATTATTGGTTATGTCGTCTAAAGAGAGCCTGCTGTAGAAATTTAGTTGTGACAATTTATCTTCATAGTTACAGATGAACTAGCCATAGAAAGGCGGATACATTCAAAATAATAATTGCGTCTGGAAAAAATGAACTACTGGTTTCTCTGTCAAGATCCTTGGTGAGACACTTGTGCAGGCATATAAAACTTGTAGGGTGATAATTATTTTTGTATTCATTTCAAAACAACTGGGACATTTTAAAATGAAGCACATAATTTCTAGGTCATGATAAAAAAACTGAAACCTCATTTACTGTGAATAACAGAATGCTACAGAACATAGTTTTACTGTAAAAAGCAAAATAATATTTTACAAATCCAAGTGAAAAGAACTTGTAGAAATACTACTCCAATCAGTAGTCACAACATATTCTTATTTTGTCTTCATACTTCAGCAAACATGCTTCTAAATTAACAACAAAAAGCACAACTCTTGACTGTAATGGTACAATCTAACTGAAGATTTTACAATAGTGTTACATAAAAATAAATGTAGAAATTACCTGTTTATATTCACTAACACAGCTTTGGCAACAGAATCTTTTCGGCTCTCCATCAATCATAAGAATATTGTTTGCTGCACCTTTACTTGGAAGGTATTCTCCACAATGCTCACAACAATTCATGATTAAACCATTTGCCATTCGGTATCGATTGAAGCAGTGATCACTACACAACTTATGAGTCATGTTTTTAAAGCTAACTTCATGGCGTATCTAAAAGCAAAAATTTAATTTTATATGAAGATCTAGATTTATTTTAATTATGAATTTCAAGCACATCTTTAGGTTGTTTAAGCAACCTTGAAATCTGCCATTTCAGAAATAGAAGCTTGCACTGGCACTTAAAATATAGATGTTAAGCACTTTAACTGTATAGAAAATACATCATATAACAACTTAGAAAAATTCCTTAGTGTTCTAGCATTGTTATAAAGATTATAATGATGACAAAGGACATGCTGATTTATCATTACTATATTCAGTCACTAAAGAAATTTAATAGACCTGTAATTATTGGTTTAAAAAATATAAGTCATGATAATGCATTTCATAAGGTACATAAAATTACATAAAATTTATTAATGTTCAGCGATGTTAACAAAAGTGAGTTTTTTTAAAAAAAAAAAAAACAGAAATATAATAATGCCCTTAAATTTAAACATTCAAACATAAAGCTAATTTGCTCTTTCTCAACCCCTGCTTGTCCCAATAGTCCTACTCCATTAACAGTTCAGTTCAGGGGTGTCAAACTCACTTTTACTGAGGGCATCAGCATTGTGATTGCCCTTGGGGGGCCGGGTGGGTGTGGCCAGAGTGGGTGCAGCCTACTGGGTGGGCGTGGCCAGTTCTACATTATTTGCGTCAAGGGTGCCTGGGCAGGAGTGGGACAGATCTGAGGGTTGCTGGCAGAAGGGGGTGGGACCGGGGCAAGTGCCAAGGCATGGTCCACCGGGACAAGTGCAAAGATGGCCACCACAAAATTGTACATTGGCTCCCGGCTAGCCTGGGCCAGGGCCAAGGCAGCAGGGGACGTTCCCTGTTTCCAGGATGGCATCGCGGGCCACATGAAACCACTTCGCGAGCTGCATCTGGCCCCCGGGCCTTGTGTTTGACATGTCTGCTTTAGTTTCTTTGGACAGCAGGCGATTAGCACAGCTTTGGTATACAACTGATTTTCCTCCCTCTGAAAAATATGTCTATGCATTCTTGCAAAAATATAGAAGAACAGTGTGTGTGGGAGCGTGTATACTGCATGCTCAAATGTTCCAATTAAGAAATATTTAAACATTATTTTTTAAAAAAAAAAATCTGAAGGGGAAAGTGTTTACAGATTTCCCAAAGGCCAAGATGGTGCTTTACTCATTCAACTATAGAAGTTTTATGTCTTCTACTATGAGTTAGTATTTGTCAAGAGATGAAAGTGACACATCAAATAACTCACAGTTAATAGGGAGCCTTAACTAAATAATCCACTCGTTTTTCTTTAAACAATGATATAATGGTATCGATAGTTTCTTAAGTAACTCAAATAAAATGGATTTTAGGAATAAATTCAGTGAAAAATAGCAAACAAACCTCAGTTAGTTTACCACAGATAGTGCATCTTGACTTATTTAAGATTCCTTTTGAGGGATTCTGTTTGTCTTCATAGAAAGACAGACATGATGTACTGCAAAACTCCTGGAAAGATTCACTTGAATCAACCTGAGCAACAATGGTACCTTTCATTGTTGTTATGTCTCTGAAAAACAAAATCATTCTGTCTCAGTACTTTAGCGACCACTGTATGTTCTTTATTCTCAGAAGTTACAGCACTTTAAAAAAGACCCTTCCTATCCTATCTTTATGAATTTAATACTCATTCTCACCAGAAAATAATGTAACTTCTTAACAAGAGTCCATTTCTATTTTTAATGAAAAAGCAATTATGCTACAAAATAGTGACAGAAGAAAACAAATATAATTGATCAAACAAAGACTAAGTAATTTCTATCATCCTGCTTTTATGAAGCTTTTAGCAGATTTATCTTTTTGTACTGATGTAACAAGACATAAACTTTCTTCTTCCAAACCCTATTTATCCCCTTTTATGCTATTAATCATATTTTTATACGTGTATATACTAGAAGGATTGACTAGTCAGTGAGACAGAAAGTATCACAGTATGCTTTGTTACCAACTATTGAAGGCAATTCTTGATTACGACTGACATCAAGAAAGATGGAAATATTGCTTTTGAGATAGAGACAATGGAAAAGGAATGTGGTCTTTCAGCCAGTTTTTCATTTCACAATGTTTTACAAGTAATATTATGTTTATTATCTTTAACTAGTAATCAGAAAACAATGATGGAAGGAGATAAATTAAGAGATAAAAATGGTGATCTAAGAAATGCCACTACCAACAAAATTACTGCTTTATGCTTTTCCTATTTATTGCTGACAAACACCAACAGTTAAAAGACCTTGCTTTTCTATTTACATGTATTAAATAGATACAGGCTTATATGAAGCCCAACTTTCTATAACCATTTAGTCATTTTTTTAAAAAAAATCTGAATGCATCAGAACGGATATACTTATTACAACAAAGCCGTTTTAAATAAGATAATCTAATATATCACTTATTGATATGGGTAGCTATAGAAATAAAATAAAATAAATAACTGGCAATATGACTACTAGTTTATTGTAGACATTATCACAGAAACTCTGGGTTACTTCAATTATTATGCAAACCAATTTCCATTTATAAAATGTTACTTTTTTCTGTCTGTCTGTCTGTTTATTTATTTATGGCATTTTGGGCATGCACCTATCAATTAAAACCATGCTTATGTTTACATTCACTATTGATTAATTTTAATTCCCATCAAATGTCAGAACAGAGAATAGCAATTACAGTAAATTATTACTAGCCATTAACAAATCTTAATGATTCTCAATCTTTGCCCAGGACTATATATATATATATATATATTTGTGTGTGTGTGTGTGCGCGCACACACACACACACACACACACACACATATTTGTTTTCTGAGGTTTTCGCGGGTGTTTGTATGTAGGTCTTTGGTTATTCGGGTTTTCTCCCGTGTAAAATTGGAAGTGTCTTGGCTTCAGCTTCGTGGAGCAATTTGTGGTCTTAGCTGTTTCTTCCTTTTAACTGCCAGTGGGGGTATGAACTGATTGGGTGGGAGCTTGGCTGTGTTCTGATTGGGTGGAGGTGTGTTCTGATTGGTTAGGGGCTTGGCTGTGCTCTGATTGGCTGGGGGGTTGGCTGCCCTCTGATTGGCTGGGGGAGTGTTCTGTTTGGGTGGGGGCTTTGTTGTGCTCACGTTAGTCTGAGTTGCAGGGGGGGGAGGTTTAGATGGTGGGCTGCCTTGCTATTTTTTGGCTTCGCGTTCGTGGTCATGCCTCATCTTCATGGTGGGTGTCAGTTTGCTTCATGTGTGGATTGGAGGGGTTTAACGTGGCTAATGGTGCAGCTGTGCCAAGACACTTCCAATTTTACGCGGGAGAAAACCTGAATAACCAAAGACCTAGATACATACATACATACATACATACAAACAACTAATAAAAAAACATAAAAGAAAAGTATCTCACTTGTCTCTTAAATAATAAAATGGATTTCACAAAGTTATTGAAACAATTAGCAGGACTATAGTTTTAACAAATGTGATCAAGAAATAAGAAAAATCCTTACTTTTTGCACATAACACAGAGTTTCTTTGGAGCTGGTTTATGTGAAAATGATGAAAGGCAAGTAGTAGAACAAAATAGATGAACAGATCCTTTCCGCTGATATGCTGTCTGGCCCTTCTGCAAAGGCTTTTTGCAGTTAGCACATGTAACTTTAACCTGCTTTGAAGGTTGCTGTTGTGCAGGTGGTTGGAAGACTTGTTTGGGAAGAGATGCCACAGGAGACAGGGAATCTACACCTGGCTGCTTCTGATTCCTTGGAAATGAAGCTGACTGAGATATCCAGGAATCTTAAAAATACAAAATAAAGAAACTGGGAATTAAGTAAACAGCTTTAGGGAGTTTACAATAGCAATAGGGTGGCATTAATCTGACACTTAAGCACAGTATTGCATTCCTAGTTCAGGTAAAAACAGCAGAGATTGTTCAACTGTTGTTAACATACAGTGAATTGAACTGCAATAATTTCTACATAGGCCCATTTAAAAAAAAATACTTAAAGAGTCATAGAAATAGCAATAGAAGATTATAAACCAGGATAACTTTGAGCATATGTCTATTTAAATCAACATTTTAAAAACTTTTAAAATATGAATTGTAAAGTTCTTGTCCAAAGTTTCTTAAATTTAACATGCTACTACAAAGCAAGTTAAATAATGAGGCTACTTTTGACAATGGCCAGAGAAAATAAGGACAACATGGAACTGATTTATTAGTCATGTAAAACAATCAGTCATGTAAAACAAACATTCTCCAAACCTTGGTTTAAGAAAAAAAGGAGAAAAGTTTACATTTTAATTTCAATTATTAAAATAAGAACAAAAAGTTTCAAGTTTGTCTATTTCCTTAATTTGTTATTAAATCTTACAAAGCTGTATAGGAATTATTCAGTACAGGTAATCCTCCACTTATGAACATTTGCTTAGCGAATGTTCAGTTATGACATCCCTGCCACAAAGTAGTTATGAATGGGTCGTAAACTTATATACGTTGCAACATGACAGTGGCCATTCTCACTTACAAGTGACTGCAGAGACAGTGCAACATGCTACTTTGGTACCACGCCTGAGTCCTGAACTGCCCACACTCGCCTCCTATGCAGCCTTGGGTACCGGAGCTCTTGTCCAGCCAGGCAGAGAAGCGCCAAGCCAGCCTCTCCCTGCTGAGCCCCAGCCTTTCTCACAAGCGGGCGCGGCCCTGCCCTTCACTTGCTGGAGTGCCGAACCCACCTGGATTTTACAAATTGCACTGTTGCAAACCTTGAGAGCTTGGCATGCCACCACTCTTGATCCCCTCGCTTCCCAAAAGCATTCCTTTGCTAAATTGCAAGGGCTCCTAAACAAACCTGTGTAACATTTCTCTGCCACCGCGTACAGGGAAACAGAAGTTCATGGATTAAAAAAAAAAAAAGTTCAGACATTCTAACTTCTTACAAAGGAAAATAAGATCTCGCAAAGTTGGACAGTCTGATTGAACTTTTTTTTTTTAGTCCCACAAACTTTTGTTTCCCTGCACACTGTGGTGGAGAAACACAATGGAGCTGGAAAGATTTGTTTAGGAGGCGCTCTTGCAATTTAGCGAAGGAATGCTTTTGGGAAGTGAGGGGAGCATGGCGGCATGCCAAGCTCTCCAGTTCCGCGGCAGTGCAGTTTGTGAAACCCGGCTGGTTCGGCACTCCAGCAAGTGGTAGGCCAGGGCTGCGCCCACTTGTGAGAGAGGCTAGGGCTTGGCGGGAAAGGGGACAGACTCATCTTATGCTTCTCCACCTGGCTGGCAAGGGCTCCGGCACTCAATGCTTTGCAGGAGGTGAGCGTGGAAAGTGTGAGGCTCTCAAACATTGTGCCAAAGGTAAATTAGCAGTCGGTGAAAGGGGGGGAAGGCCCAAGCAGCTTGGGACCCCATGGGGTGGAAAGAGGAGCATGGGGTCTCTCAATGGGTGGGGGGAGGCGTTTGGTGGCTAGATGCAGTGGTCTTGTCCCTCCACTAGGCCTTCCCTACCCTGAGATACCTCGTGTACACTTAATGACCCGCGCATTCGATTAGCAAATGCTTGAGCCAAAGCAGGGAGTGATCGTGTTCAAGTTTCACCATTCACTCTTATGAATTCTCAGGTTACAAATGTAATTGACAGGCTCCATTAACTCAAGGACTACCCATATCTGAAAAGCATCTCATACTGTTTACATTCTGTGTCTGTATTATATAGAAGTAATGAATACTTACCTTGAGTAGTAGCAGAGGATATTAAACTACTGTACAAATTAAGTTATTGTTACTTTTATTTTAACTTGAGCATACTATGATTCAATGTTAGCTACCTGCTTTTGGCAATACCTTTTGACTTGAAGTACATTTTTTTATATCTCTGCAACGTTCAGGTGTAATATATAATTTCATTCTCATTTATGTGACTTGATAATTGAGTCCCATCAATTTTGAGTTTAGATATTTATAGGCAGGTAACACAGTATTGTTATTGCTATTGAAATGATACATTAAAAAACCTTGATTTTCTGGGGGTGTTTTACTGTTGATATATATATACGTACACTGCGTATGCTCTCACATTATTATTATTTATACAGTTAAAAACATCAATACCTCCCTTTTTATTTTTTGTAACTATCAGCTATCATTATATGGAAGCAAAAATATTAGTAAAATAGAAATAATTACTTTTCTTGGGCTTTTCTCTAATAGGTAGCAAAGCAGCAACAACAAAACAACAAAGAAAACAAAAAATGCAATACCTATAGCAAGTTAAACTTAAATGTTTTAACTGTTTTCTTTGGCCTATATATACTCATTTTTTAAAGTGAGATGTATGGCATATAAATTTAATAAATAAATATACCCAAAGAACATAGGTATAACAAATTTAAAATAATTTAAAAGACCTCTCTCTTTTCTTTTGGTTGAAAACAGTGTGTAAATAACTTTTTGAATAATAGTTTATGACGACAAACTTATTTTTTCTTATAGAATTTATTGTAATGTTCCAAAAATATTTTACAATCATATCAATGACTTTTTTTTTTACAATCTGGTTAATAGGCAGCACATATATATTATAACTTTGCCTGGCTGAGTTAAGAAGCTATTGAATGGAAGCTGATCTGAAGTTCTCACTGACGGCCAGGAGACTCAAAACATTTCCAACTGTGTTCTGATAGAGCACTTGAGCTATTCTGAGTTTTGTTCCAACAGAACACAACCAACTTGAAATATCTGGGCAAAACATTTCAATTTGTGCAGTTTTGTTGTATGAGCAAGATAGAATACACTGTCTATTTGATATATACCCCCTATATTAACAATATCCACACCTCCAATCTTTAGCTTTCACGGTTATTTTTATCTTCTATTAAAAATCATTGCTTGGGCAGCATTTTCTGCTATTGGTTACATTCCAGTAATTTTGGTTCTGATATCACAGTTCAGTATTGCATTTTCTTGTATAACAATTGATAATGCAGTCAAATTCTATTTGTGTGGCAAAAATACAGTTGTATTTTCATCTTTTTAACTTCTAATAGTGATCGACTTAGTAACATCCTCAAATCTTCAATGATGTTTTCACAAATTATTTTGCAATATTTGCGAAGTCATGAAACAATCATGCAAAAAATAATGCAGGTATCATATACCTGTCTTGAAGAATGTTATTTAAAAACTACTGATGCTCATGAAATTGAAAGTTTCACGTGAATGCACTGAAAAAAATAATACAGGTGTGAAAACCACTTTTCCTTTGTGGTTTCACGTATCTGAAGTTGATAACTATAGTCATGAACTCATTAGGCAAAATAAATGGCATCACGTATCTACAATTTTTGGCACACTGTCCTGAAGTCTCTGTTTTGTGCACATGCAAAACTTAACATCCAGTCTTTATTCCCAATAATTCCTGGCAGCTTTACTATTCTGTACTTATAATTCTTTCTTCAGGCTTACTTCCATCATACTGAAAATTAGAAGCATACCAACAGAGGAAAGTGGAAAATGTTTCCTCAAAGCTGAGATCCTATTGATAGGAAATACATTTGAGACAAGTGCCATGTTTTCTGAGGTTTCACAATCTGTAGTTGCATGGTATGGATTCTAATCTTGCTGTATAAAAACAGGCCTGATATTAGCCCCAAGTATGAGAGAATGCTAACAGATAACAATAATGGTAGCTTATGATACAGAGCAGAGAAATCCTTATCAATGGGCTGGCTGTGATTCAATATATTTCAGAAAAGAATCAAATACATGACAGACATTTTATTTAACACACATTTGACTATATCAAAATATATGTAGCTCTCACAAAGGAATGTAGAAATCATCAGGAAGCACATCAAAATCCAATAGTTATAAGCAGTTGATATGCTTAATACACGGATGTAAGAAATATTTTTAGTTACCTTTCTTAAGCCTACATTCTTTTTTCAAGAACCACTGATTTCCTTATAAATCTTTTTAAACCATCAAAATTAAAACTTCTATTCTAGCTGTTACATATCTGATTAACAATGAAATTTAATGCAAATATTTTCAATTGCATACTTGTCATCTCAAAATGAAGCTATAGATGTCAGATAAATGGCATAAAAGCTTGCATTATAAATAGGCTTTATTTTAACAAAATAAAATATCTGGAATGAGCCCAGGCCCCCCAAATGGAAATACTGGTATTTCAAAGGGTCTTAAAGATCTGGCTCTTCAGGCCTTAGGAGGGAAAGGCTCTTCCTCCTTTCTGTTTCTTGCCAGTTTGTTTTGTTTGCCATCATTATTCTTGCTTGTTTTTGGTATTGTTTTTTGTTTTTAAATCTTTTATCTATAAATTACCCAGTCACCAGAAGGAGCAGCATATAAGTTTGAGAATATTATTAATAACTATATTTTTGTTATAAATCATAAGAAATGGTATTAAACAATGGCTTATAAATAATGCAGATAAATTATTAAATTTGCATACAGCCTGACAATTCTCTTAAAAAGTAAAACCACAAAATACCACAATACACTGCACAATGTTCAATGGTGATTAATTTGAGTGAGCACATTCCTTAGTTCCCATTGCTCAATCCTATTGTATGTAACTGTTAACTATTGGAGCTCAGCAAACCTGTGATGTTCAGCTACTGTTAAATCAACTTCTGTCTCTCTCAAGCTTACTTTTAGAAAAAAGAGTTTAAATGATTTTCTGTTTTACAACTGAGACCCATCTAATTACTTTTCTTAGATTCTATACTAAATTACTTTTCTTTTAATTTCCTACCTTCATTTTCTGCATAATGTAGGCATTCTCTAACTACATCCTCATGGTTGCCTTATTATGAAGGAATCCACAATACTCAAGGTATTTAATTTACTTATCAGCCCCCAGAGATAGGAATTCTTTTAAAGGCCCCAAGGTTCCAGATAATTGTACTCAATAAATTTTAATTGCTTAAAGCACTCTTTTATTATAAAAATGTGATTTACATTAATCTTTCAAGCAATATACAATTTTATGAAACTGCACCAAAAGAACTTAGAATATAATTGGCTTTATGAGACTTTGCAAGTCTTAGGATTAAAAAAATACATAAATACAACCTACCTGGATTATGATGAGTTGCAGATTCTCCATTCTGAAAGACATCACCAGCTACGTTCATTCTACCAGGATTGAAAGGTCCTACACCAGTCTTGGTCTGTGAAGTTAAAGATGGGGTGTATGTTTGTATATTAACACCAAAATTACTTGACTGCAGTCCGTTAGATACATCTCCCAAGTTGGTATTCTGTAGTGATGTTACATGTGTTATCATTAAGTTCATGTCACGCCCTTCAGTATTTTCTAAACGGCCAACACTCACAGAGCTCATACCTCTTTCTAATGTAGTAACATTAGCTATTTGAATTTCAGAGTCTGGTTCTGTGGTTATACCACTATTACCTATTCCTGCATTTACCTTACTTCTTGAAAAACTGGATGTTGAGAATTCCATTTCATTGGTTCTGTTTTTACCCTCTGGAAATCTTCTTTCACTGAAACTGGAATCATTTCTCTCTTGTCCCTGATTTGTTTCAATGTCTTCTTCATCATCAATAATAATAGTCTCAGTTATACTTCCCTTCTGAGCACTCATGTCTTTTGACGGAGCTGATATTTTAGGGTCATTTCCATGTTGCTCTTCATTACTGGATGAATTAAAAACATTTCTGTGGTCTGTTATTAATGGTGTAGAGATTTGTGGAGGCTGTACAGGTTCAACAAATACAACATCATCATCATCTTCTATGGAGGTACTCTGGAACTTAGATCTAGACACCAGAGAATTAGATGGACCTCCAAAAGAGCTTCCTACATTGGCTAGGCCAGTTGCCATTGTGATAAGCCCTTATAAACCAGACGTAGGTTCAGATAACGCCAATTTTCAGCTACCTTCTGGCCTTCCAGAAAAACTGTTACAAAAAGAGAAAGCAGTTTCACTAAAAATATCATCTGATTATATTTTAATTATTTTTAAAGTACCATCTTTCTTTTACTAATTATTTAAATATGTTCTAAATAAAACAAAGCAAGATTTTATTTAATGACTTAGCCCAGTGCTCTATCATTTCCTCTTGCAAGCAAGTTTCAATTAAAAAAGCAATTTCTGTTGTTCATTGTAACCCAGGAACCAAACTGTTTCTCTGAAACAAAGCTCAAATTGGAATCTAAGAGCCAAGAACAAACCATGACTTTTAGGACAGCAAGAGCGAATTCCTAATCCCACATTACAATCAAAGCAGATAACTAGCTTCTGTTTCTCTTAATTAAACCTGAAGTCCTAGGGCCACATGTCCATTCCCCCAATTTTGAGATGTGACACATGGATCTTCTTCAAAAATTATCATCAAATTTTCTTATTAATGAAATGAAATAATTAAAAATACTGGAGAAGAGCCAGTTTGTTCTAGTAGTTAGGACACCAGGTAGAAACCAGGAGACTTTGAGTTGTTAATCTCACCTTAGGCATTACTAAGCTGGGCAGTTGGGTGACTTTGGGACAATAGTCTCTCTCAGCTCATTCCATCAAGTTTGGGCAACAAGTTGGTCTGTCTATTCCTGCCACAACCAATGCATTATACTATGTGTATTTAAATGTATTAAAGTGGAATGAAATCAAATTTAGGGTTCATTTTTGCCAATAAAAGGCCAAATGCAGATCTTGAATTGATAAAGGTTGGTCAATCCTTCATTCATCCATCCCCCCACCCATCTACAGCTTTGAGCCAATCTTGACTCCTGGCAACTACAGGGATATGCAGTTTTCTTGGCAACATTTTCAAAAGTAGTTTATTACTTTTTTCTTCCAATGGCTGAGAGAGAATGACTAGCAGTCTAAGACACTCTTGAGTGGCTTCATGCTAAGGACTAGAACACAGTCTCCCAGTTCTAGTTCAGTAAATTTAATTGCTATTATCAAATTGGATTCCATTAAACTATTTATAATCTAGTAAAATAATTTCTGTACAAATCAGCAATCTGGTAAGCTAACATTTTGAAAATTCTGGCTTTCTTTCACATAGATTTACCATATCTAGACAACCCAAATTTAGATGGCTACTAGATAGCAGTAAACAAATAAAAAAAAATCTGTGTTATTCCTACAGTTATCTATATTTTTGTAGCCCAGATATAACAGCTCCTACTTTCATGTGCAACTTAGCTATAGCGTTTGAAATATAATGTAAAGACATTTTAAAGAAAAATGAAATATTACAGTTCAATTACATTTACAATTGGTAACAAGCTTGACATATTTCCCCTACCCTAACTGCACAAGATTGAAAGAAACTGAAATTCTGAATAAATTACTTCTCAGTTGGGAAGTGTTTAATTCTTACTCTGGTTAGCATAAGCAACTAAGCTCTTTGGACAATTTATATAAGCTACTGTTTTCAATAAACTTTTTGTGTTCAATCTTTTTTATTCTTAATTAATTTTATATTTAATTTTCCCCCATTCAATTGACTGCTTGAAGCAGTTAATATTTTAAAAAATTGTATTTCAAATCCAAATACTTACTTATTCAAAAACATCAAGGAATTTGTAAAGTTAAAGTTTTCCAATGCCTTTTTGATCCTGGGAACTTTGCTCACTTCTCTAGTCAAGCAGGAAATGTTTTTTTGAAAATAAGCATCCTGAAATAGATTTAATAAATATTGAGAATGCAAACTTGCCATGAAAAGTGACAGTAAAGTAATTCAATTTTCAGCCAAAATCCTTCAAATTTAAACGATTTTCAAATCCTTAAAAACAATTCAAAAGTTGGCTGTTGAGATGAACAATATGGTCAAGTTTACCCACAGCAGAATCTCAGCGAATGTCATAAAAATATTACATCAACATATTTCCCATTGTAAGCAACATTTCCCAAAGTAGATACAGTACTATCTTCCTTTAAAAAGCAGAAGTCACACAATCATATTTTATTTTCCTTATTAATATGTTACCGACCAAATATTTCAATGTAGTTTTTTTTTTACTTTTGTTTGAACTAACATTTTAAAAAATAAAACTTGAAACTTCATGTTGGCCAAAATCTGCATATGTTTGAAGATCTGATAGCAAAACAAAAGGGACAATTTGCTCAGGCCATAAATATTAAGAAAAAAAATGGTTCACCATCTAAATTAGCCCTGTTAAGTTTTATGCAGTATCTAAACTACTGTTAAAAATATGACAAAATTATAGTAAAATATTTTGCAGCTTACATTATAGCCTTATTTTTACTTATCCTTATTACTCTATCACATACTAAAGTTCCACTATTCAAAGTATTTCTCTATTTAAAAAACACAAAACTATCCATCTTTAGTCTGGAGATGTTCAGTGTACAGCAATTCCTGTACCTCAAGCACAAATGAACTATTTGAAACAGTAAAAAGTGTTTCTGCTGCTACCAGTAATATTCACTTGCCTGCCCACTTGTTCATATCCTTTTACAGCTAAATCAAGTTGCAAGATTCATGTTTATATTAAAGCAGCAGCAAAGAAGATATTGTATTTTATATTGTTTGACACCCATTACTTCTACCCTATCCCTTTTAAAACAATTCTATATCAGATTAAGTAAGCCAATAAAGTTACTCTTTAGTATATTTTCTGTTCTACTATATAGCTGTCTATATAGTAGACAAGGAGTCATTGGGAGTTAGGCAGCATACAACTTTAATACATTATTATTATATTCTCTAATTTTATTTTACAATAATTACAAAGTGACAACTTCTAATTATAGTAGGAGTTTCATATATTTCAAAAAGCTTCTTCAGTAATTCATGATCAGGTTTAAAAAAAAAACCTGCAACATCCACAGGCTGAAAACATCTAATACAACAGTGCGACATCATCTGTACCAATTAATGCAGAATATTAAAACTTATTATAACAGAAAATGGTTGTCTTTTTCTAAGAAAAAACTACTCAAGACAATAGTATGCTTATTCCTGATTTATAAGTGAAAACCGTAAAACAAGTGCTAGGTACAAGTAAATAAAACTTCATCACTTAAAAATAACAACAGCAAAAAGAGATCAAAACTAGGGTCCTTCTTTAGAAAATGAGAGTAGAATGTATAAAAATATTAGCCTTTTCTTCTAGATGATTTACAAGCTGCATGAAGAAGCAAACATTTTTAATCTAGTATACAAACATTTTTCTTAAAATGGCCTTGCATAACCATAACAGTTGAATATGTCTTTTAAGATTATTCTGCAACCTTCTTTTTTCTTAAATGTTCATGGCAATATAAAGTATTCCATTCTCCAATGTTATCCTCACAACAACCCTGTGAGCAATGACCTGTGCAAATAAACTATGAGGTTTTGTGGCTTAGTATAGCCTTAAACCTAGATTTTTCTAGCTCAACACATTAACCACTGGGTCACATGAGCTATGTTAATTATGTTTACAGCAGCTTTTGTGTTAAAACTTAAGCTGCCAAAGTTTAATACGAAGATCTAACTAATCGTCATAATGTATGAAGTTTACTTATAAATATTTCACCATGGGCATGAACTACAACAAAATAGTAACATACCAAATACTTTCATATTTATCTGCTTTAATTATGAATAGATTTCATTAATTTAGTGGACTTCTTAAGATATTCATGCAACCAGTTGATATCGCCATATAATTTAAATACTTATTATCATAATAGTCCTTTTAATTTCTTATGAAACTTAATAGGTTATTCAAAAAGTTAGACAGTAGCCAAATTAAGGAAGAAACAAGAATTCCATAGTACTAATATGCATATTCTAATAGCTTAACTAATAAGATACTGAAAAAAGTTATGACAACCTGGAGCTAGCATTTAATGGAATTAAAACACATGCTCCTGGTTGTCATAACTTCTCAGTATACATATATTTCTCAGCTATACAGAGTATGTTCACTGATAGAGTCAATGTCATCTTGATGGAAGATGGAAACAGCAAAAATATTTGGAGTGGTGAATACACAGGATATCCTATATAAATCTAAAAAACAGCAACTTTGTGTCTAGGCTACTTTGCTACTATCCTACCTATAAAACATGAAACAAGTGGTAATTTCCTACACATATCTCAAGATTCATATATAATAGAACTGGGAACATGGGATATTTCAAATCCCAAATGGGCTATCTTCCACTCATCAGAAAGGAGTGACAGCAGCACTATCAGTTACAAAAGCATCCTTAACTCATTCTTACGCAAAAGGCAAATACCACAAATGCACACATTTTGCCAAGCTACTTTAAACACATGAGCCATTATAGTTAACAAATTATGTGACACATAATCAAGTTAATAAGCTATCATGTGATTGTGCTAACCCTAAAAAATGAATTTTATTTGTATGCTTATGTGTTTGTACATATACCTGCCTCCCATATTTTACATATAAGATCATTTATGTTAGTGCCCATAACATATTTATACACAAAATTGTGTTTTTGTTTACTATGGAAGACTGGCAAAAATGGTTTAAGGCATCTCTCAACTTTAAGGCTTTCCATTTACTTAACTTTATTTTTATACTCCTTCAGCCTCATGATTTTGGGTGGTGTACAAGAAACTTTTTAAAAAATAATTTTATTAAACATTGTAATAGGGCAGATAAAAATACAAACTAAAAAAATGCAAAGTAAAATGAATACTAAAAAAGAAATACTAAGTAAAATAAAAATGACAGAAAAATTAAGGCAATAATAAATAAAAGTATATAAAGAAATGTGTTCCCCTTCATCACCAGTATAATTTTAATAACTCATCACCTTTGTTAAAATACAATTGGTCTCTTCTTTCCATATCTCATCACTTATCTAAAAACAACTCCTTAAAAATCTTGTCATTCAATTCTGATCAGCCAAAATCCATTAAACATTACCTGAAATAACTTTATTTGATCAAATAAACCAACTTTATGTTCATTTTACTTTTTACAATCTTGATCTTTAATCTTAAATCTTCAATGTCCTAGAACTTGATTTCATTTTTTCTTTATTTTTTTTTCTCACAAATTCTTCAAAAACTTTAATGAATATCTTTTGTAAATTCAATTTAGAAAACTTACCCAGATCACTCTTTTGGTTTGTTAGTTCTACATTCCTTTTATTTTAATTATTAAGATATCAGCTAGTATCTTTTCTATGCCCAGTGTAGAATTTTTTTCCATGTCACCATAACCTCTCATTTTAAAATTCCCTTCTGATCAGGGAATCTTGTTCAGTAAAACTTGTTCCATAAAGTCCTTTAAAAACAGTCTCTAATGGCAGACATTCTTAAAATTACCGTATATGCTGGCGTATAAGACGACTTCCGGAAGCGCTAAACTCGGCACCAAAGACGGGGGTCGTCTTATACGCCGAGTCGTCTTATACGCCGGAAATACTGGTAGTTTCCGGCGTATGAGATGATGTTCTAGGAATGCAGCTCGGTGATAAAGACAGGGGTCGTCTTATACGCCGGGTCGCCTAATACGCCGGCATATACAGTAATTTCTGGATCCATTGCTAACAAATATTCTTCAATACATCCAACACTGAAATATTTTGCTCCATTCTGAATTAGTAAATGAAATTTAAAGTATTCCTCTTTAATTGTAATCTTTAGTATCTTCAGGTTCCCTCCAAACAGCATTTTCCTACATGAAGGATTCTTATAATTAATTTCAAAATCAATTTTCCAATCACATTTTTGCTGTTTATTCTAAAAAAGATTTTTAAAATCCTTAATGATTGAAGGAAATTCACTGATGCTATAAAACATATTGTTCCAAAGGTTTCAGTTTTTAGCTGAAAAAGTAATTTCTAAAAGTGATTAGGAAAAGAAGTATGCAAATTCTGATCCCATAGTTTGGGATTAGATGGCCTTCGCTCATCTCCCTTAGCTCTAAATCAGCCATAGACTGCTTTCTTGCGGTATCCTCATGAAGATAAACTGTCTGGAGCATTTGGGGATGATCCAGTCTTCTCCTTGTCCAGAGAGGAATCACAAAGTCACTGGATTTTCCCTTTTCCATTAGGCCTCAACTGCACTGAATACTCCATAAAAAGTTTGTTTTTTAGAAGTTTTCTAAAAGCCAGAAGGGCCCAAATGTATTTCTGTAGCAAGATGTATAGCTGGGCTGCAACCAAAAAGGCCTGTTCTCCTCAGCAAGTCCTCTCTTTATTATTTCACTAGTTGGGCCAACTCCTTTTGGAAAAGGCAGCACCTAAGGTAAGCCAATGCTCTGCTACATAGTGCTTTAAACCAGCACAGTGAAACAGACCTGGAAGCCTGAAAGCAGTCATTGCAGCAACCATAATATAGATGTTATTTTGCAAAGGCTTTCTAACTTCCAGCAATCTGGCTACTGTGTTCCATTCCAGTTATAGCTTCCAAGTCAACTTCAAAAGTAAAGTGAGTTGCAGCAGTCCAATCACATGATGGTAACAGCCCAAGTTACTCTCACCAGTGCTTCCTGGTCCAGGTAACTGATATATCATAAAAAACTGAACAAAGTCCCTTTTTTAGAAATAGTCAGCACATAATACCGGTAGCACTTGACTTGCAGTCATTTGTTTAGTGACCTAAGTTATAACGGCACTAAAAAAGTGACTTGACCAGCCCTTGCACATACGACCATCACAGCATTCCCCACGGTCATA